ATGCATAAATACAGTATACTATGTGAATTTGGTATACATATGATGCAGCAGGAATCTTAAAAAGCAAAAAGGCAATGTCCACAGAAACATTTGTCACTTGTGGTATGATATGTGGTAAGCCTGGCATGTATCAATAGGCTTGATTTCGGCAAGGATGCAAAGCAATATTGCCTCTTAAATATTTTCTCCACTCATTACAACAGAAAATATAGGCAAATATAATGATGTACAGATGCTGCTTACATCCAGCAACACTACAGAAAAGTCAGTATTCCGCAGCTTGTACTTGTCCTGTTGGCTAAAGGCCATAGGTGTGGATAGAGATGTGGACTGATTGGTAGACAAAAAGCCTTCTCAGAAATCACTGTTCATGTTTACCAGTCAGAGTCTAGTACAGTGGATTTACTGTTAGGCATAGAAGGTCTGTGCTAATAGGCAGCAGAGGCAAAGAGGTGGCTTTTACTGTATTAGCCACCCATTTGTGCCCATCGTAATGAGTTTTACAGTCATCTCATAGATCCCTATTTTTATAGTCACAATACTATAAGCCCATATTCAAAATAGCAAACAAGATAACTAAGTGATAGGATGAAGATTTTAGTGAAAAATAACCCTTTTGGTAGTCAAATAGTACCTTTTCATAGATATCTGCACATCAGACCAAGAAGGAAGGATAACAGAGGAGGAAAGATGGACAGAGCAATTTGGTTCCAAAATAGGGACAGTCCATTTAAATGAGGAACATTTAAGAGGTATGTAAACTGGGTAAGGACCAAGAAAATGTTCTATAGAGAAGAGTGAGTACAGTTGAGTAAAAAATGAGTATAGTAACTGATGATGACACTTGTGACTTGGAAGACAATGGCTTTGTGTCTGCAGCACCTTAGAATTTAAAATGATTTGGTGCTAACAACTTTGCTCTGGATTTGAAAGTGGCATGTATATATGAATAATTCGTTATTTGCCGACTTTGGCTTACAAAAGTGCCAATTGGGAGTTCATAGCGCTTGCTCCTTGTCACGGTCTAGGGACCAGGGCACATGAGCCCCTGTGTTTGCGGAGTTGGTAGGAGTCACAAAGAGGCGGGATATCGGGGATGTAGGTCACAGGGAGAGAGGAACGAATGATCTGTGCGTTCTGAGACCTGGCATGACCTGAGTGCTTCTAAGCAGGGCTGGGCCAAGGCACAGACAGGAGAGGCATTTTGTGAGAATCTTTTGGGTGAATATCCACTCGCTGGGCAAATTGCGTTGTTTCGAATCTTGCCAGGCCAGGGCCGGTGCAAGGATTTTTGCCTACACAGGCGAAGTTGCATTTTTCCGTCCCCCACCTGGCACCCTCAGGCAGTCTTATGGTAGCACAAGCCCTGCAAAAACATCCCATAAAGCAGCACTCCAAAACTAATAAGAGATCTGTGCTATCCCTGTTACAGGTCAAATCAATTATCTCATAAGTATTTAGAAAAAAGGAAGACCATCAGCTACTAGTGCCAGGCCCGGCGCAAGGCAGTACTTGTACTTGTCAAAATGCCCCGGTTTGCGCTATGTTTTTTTTTTTCACTTGCCTTCGGTGCGGGAGAGCAGCGGCAAGTCAGCGCTGGTGCGGTGGGAGGAGCTCCAGGTGGGGTCCTAATTTAGCTGGCCGGCGACTGCCTGAGGATCTCGACACGCGCGGCACCTCAGGCAGTCGCCAGGCAGTCGCCAAAAATGCACCTTGCCTGTGTAGGCAGGAAACCTAGCACCGGCCCTGACTAGTGCCCTATATGTGAAGCCACTAGCAATGACACCCTAAATAGTTTACTGTGGAGCACCCCAATAGAAAGACACCCCAAAATGTACCAGTCCAGAAAGCATAACTATGATGTCCATGTTACAGCTCAAACTATACATATCCACAATTTGGGAATCATCTTTTGAAGCCCAATATGTAAAGCCACAGGCATTGATACCCCACGTCTATTACCACGGAGCACCTCAGTACAAGGACACCCCCCATAGATCTTCATTAAAGAAAGCATAACTAACAGCAGATAACAATTGACCTTCAACTGATGTTAAACTGCTGCATCCTGAAGCAGAACACATTTTATATACAATATATATAAAAAATCATGTGTCCTGATGAGTCCTGCAACATCTGTTTTGGCTGCTGATGGGTTGAAGGTGGCAAAAATTCTGTGTAATAAAATGTTAGGAGGCTTTACACTGACAGCCAATGTAACGGAGGTATTCACACTGACCACAAATGTAAAGGAGGCATATACACCGACTGCCAATGTAACAGAGTTATTCACACTGACCACCAATGTAAAGGAGGTATAAACACTGATCAGCAATGTAACAGAGGTATTCACACTGACCAGCAATGTAACAGAGGCATATACACTGACCAGCAATGTAATGGAGGTTTTCTCACTAACCGCCAATGTAATGGAGGTATTCTCACTGACAGCCAATGTAATGAAAATATTCGCACTGACCGCCAATGTAACAAAAGTATTCAAAACTAACCACCAATATAACAGAGGTATTCTCACTGACCATCAATGTAGCAAAAGTATTCACACTGACCGCCAATGTAACAGAGGTATTTACACTGAGCGCCAATATAACAGAGGTATTCTCACTGACCACCAATGCAACAAAGGTATTCACACTGAACGCTAATGTAACAAAAGTATTTACATTGACCGCCAATGTAGCAAAAGTGTTCACACTGACCGCCAATGTAACAAAAGTATTCACACTGACTGCCAATGTAACAAAAGTATTCACACTGACTGCCAATGTAACAAAAGTATTCACACTGACTGCCAATGTAACAAAAGTATTCACACTGACTGCCAATGTAACAAAAGTATTCACACTGACCGCCAATATTACGGAGGTATATACCATACATCAGGGGCGCCCACAATTTTTCATCTGGAGATCTACTTTTCAAATGATGAGCTCTACCAACGAAAAAACACCTGCATTCAGGGGCGGGAGGGGGCATCGCGGTGCATTGAAGTAAATGGCACCGGAGCCAGAAACCGCAGGCAGGCCCCTCGCCCATAGTGTGATCGCCTGCACCCAGAACCCAGGCACATTAGTGCCTGCGTTCCAGTTAAATGCAATCCGGAAAAATGCTGCAAGCACTATTTTTGCAGATCGCACTGGACTGGAATGCAGGCACTAATGTGTCTGCGTTCCGGGTGCGGGCGATCGCACTGTGGATGGGGGGCATGGCTGCGGTGCCATTGACTTCAATACAACGCCACACCCCCTCTGGCCCCTGAACGCAGGGAGTCTGCTGGCTTACATTCCAGTGCGCCCTAGAGGCCTGTCCTTCCGCAGTGCTCGTGTGGCTGACGTTGCACATGGGGTGAGGTGTCCCGCCCCTTTCCATCTGCAGTGTCTGACCCATTCAGCTGGCAGCCGCACGAGCACCGCGGGAGCATAGCCGCAGCCAACTCCTTAGGGTTTGTGGTAATGTTTTGGCCTACTTGTGTTTAATAACAGGAATGTCCTTTTGTTCATTTTCAATGTTCATGCTTTCCTCTGTGCTGTTGATAATGTAAAAAGTTTTAAAATTTTTTAGAAAATGAACAAAGAAACAGTGTATCCTCCACTACCTGAAATAAACAGCCTGGCATGCAGGCTGGTAATCCTTTAGCAAGGGAGTGGTGTGCGTGCAGCACACATGCTCTTCAGCATTGGGGGATTGCTTTGAGATGGCCCCCCCAAAAAACATGGGCCCACCTGAAACCATAGCCAGATGTTTACTGGCAGCATGCTGTTCGGTGTCCCCAGTGCCCAAAAGGGGGGTATTAGTAAGGGGGGGGGGCTCATGTTCCACCTACCTGCCCCTCAGTGCAGAAACTATGACAGTGCTGAAACAGGAGTTTAAGCAGTGAGGAGGGAGCATTATGTTCCTCCTTTCTTTGTCCTGCCAGCTCTGAATCAAGGGGACCCCCCTTCAAACCCCAACAAATGCTGAAAGGCAAGTGGGATAGTATCAACATAGCAGAGGGGCTGCATGCTCCCTGGTCCCTTGCTAATGGGGATAACAGCCTACATGCTTGGCATGCTGGGCTGGTTAGCTCATAGAAGGGGGAAACTGTGTTTTTTATTTCCATTTTTCTACAGTAAAAATAAATTAAACACAAATAATTAACCATGGGAATAGTTTGAATAATGTGCACAGTGAAAAATGGCCGAACGCTGGGTGAATTGTAGAGCTAATCTATGTTCACGGAGTGATGAATAGGATAATTAATACAGCAAAATACTTTCACAAGAACAGCTGTTGGATAATTCTGTTTGCAATGGATGAAAACCACTGTGTTAAATATAGGGGTTGTGGAAAATTAAATCTTGGACTAAAGAAATGGGAAGAATATAGTGCAAATTTTGGGTGGGTCTTTTCTCAAAACATTGATCAATACACCCCTTTGTACTTTTATAGAACATCATTTTTTTATACCCATAAATATTTCTAAAAGGAGAAGAGGGAATATGTAGCATCGTATTTAGCTAGTTTACTTGCTGTAAGTTTCTTTTCTTTCACTGTGGTTGCCTCTAACTTGACAGTTCTATGTCATAAATGTTCTGAATAAATAACCAATTACAACACATATGTGGGCTGGTTAAAGCATAATCTTATAGATCAAAGGTAGATATTCTTGTATTCACGTAAAATAGACACTATCCTGAAAATCCAAATGTAATTGTTATATAGCACTATTTGTTTTTATTATTCATTGTAAAACAGGTCACTCATTAGTACTGAATAGCATTCATCTGTTGGTATGTGCTGCACCATGTAACCTCTATAAAATGTTACCAGGTTCAAAACTATACCTAATAAAAATTAACAATATCCTACAATAAATGCTGTGATAATTATCCCCTATTCTACCAAACTTACTATGGGGCAAAGGACATATTTTGACAAAAATGTTTTATAGCTCAATATTGATAATGTGTAACCTCAGCTGTCATGGAGAGTGATGAAGACTGAACTCTGTAATCTAGAGGCGGGTCAGGGCACAGGTCACAGGAAGACCAAACTTTTATAAAGTGACCTGAGTGCTAAAACCATTCTTTCTTTAGTTATCTTGAACCATCAAAGAACCATGAACCTGTGGAAGATCGTAGGTGGTGTATTTGGTGGATGTTTAATACTGGCCATTGGATTACTCATTGGTCACTTTGGTATCTCAAAAACTCCTTCCTGGGCCAAAGAGCTTTCCAAAGATGTAGATGAAAAGTTTATTAGCGAGTTTATGAAAGAAGTCGATAATAAGAGAATAGAAGAAAATTTGAGGTGAGTAAAAAAATGATCAATGAATAGAATAAGTCTCTCTTTAAAGCATAATTCCAGCCTTTTTTTTAAAAAAGAGTGAGGAAGGTTTAGAATATCTGTGAGAATTTTAGTGCTATCTGTGTCCCGATAAGGGGGTGATTTCCCTCAATTTCTCTCCAGGTGACAGGTATCAGATTAAGCAGGGAGAGAAGAGAAGTCTCTATTGAGACACTGGAAGTATTTTAAATCTTACAAAAGTATCCTCATTGTGGACACTGGCAGCAGTAAAAAGTTTAATGGTGTCCTTGATAACAGTAATAAACTGACAGGGGTTTTAATCTTTCCTCACTCTATTCAAAACTGATTAAAGTGTATGTCCAGCCAGAACTTTTTTTCTTAGTTTTAGATAGCGTGTGGAAAGATTAAAACCCCTGTCAGCTTATAACTGCTATCCAGGACACCGTTAGAGAGATTTATGCTCACTTTCTGACCTACTGACAAAGTTTTACCAGTCAGGAAGTGAGGGGAGCTCTCAAACAGCAATATAAGTAAAAATATAAGTAACAGCAGAAATAAAAATGATTTTCTTTAGTAGGGTAGGGAAGGCTAGATTTTTATTTCTGTGTCCCAGATGCGGATTTTCCCACACTTCCTCTTTGGTAAAACTGCTATCAGCAGGACAGGTATTGGGGGTAAATCTCTCTCTAATAGGACACCCGGATAAAAAGAGCAGGAAGTTCTATTTCTTCTGCACTCTATTAAAAAGTAGAAAAAAAGCTGTTGACTTGACATAGACCTTAAAGTCCATCTCCACCTTTGCACGTGATTCACATTTATTGTGATAATGTAGAGGTGCAGTAATGTTGTACACGTGTGCACATTTTCATGACTCACATTGCAGGATTTACTATTTTTTTTATAAACTTTTAGGCTTGAATTTTACATGTTTAAAATTTTCTCCACACGAAACTCAGTCTGACACGGGAGTCGGATTGTAAAGCAGGCTGTAAACAGCTGCCCTCCCTCCCTGTGATTCCATGTAACACGATCACTAAACACCAGCTCTGCCTTTGCACACAATGCACTGTCCTGGGGGGGGGGAGAGGGGTAATACTTATGAATGGGGGGAGAGGGATCAGAGAGAGCTTGGTTGTAATATACACAGATTGTTTGCAAAACACAGAAGCAGCTATTTCCATGGTGATATGAAGAGGACAGCTAACAAAAATTTAAGTTTCTGTGTTCATATACAGCAACTGCATATGCCTACTTCATGTACACTCGATGTTCATTGCTGGCATAGGTTTTTTTTTTTAAACCTCAGCAAAGGTGGAAATGGGCTTTAACGTTTATAATGCACTGTAGATCTCATGGAGAGAATGGCAGATGTCAAGAAATGTCCATGGCTCAAGCACATACACAGTGAAAGGTTTTTCTTCTCTCCATGGAGAAAAATAATTGCTAAATATTTAGAAGTTTTTCCGAAAAGGTTGTAAAATCTCTGCGTACTATGTTAATAATAACTGATGTTTGCAGGAAATAATAATTATCCCATATAAGTTAAAGTAGAAGTACAGCCAAAACTTATTTTTAGTTTGAGTGTGGAAGGGTCAGAACCCCACTGTCAGGTTTATAGTGCAGTCTATGTCCCTGTTAAGGATATTCAACCTCTTTGTTTGTTCTGGTGCCTTGTCAAAGGCAATTTAACTTGTCAGAGGACATTTCTCATTCTACGCAAAACTAAATAAAAAAAGTTTTAATAAAGCTGGCCGTACACTCAGCATTTTCTTTAACTGGCGGGGTGCTGTCAGGGCCACACATTGCTGACTTGGATGAAATTCAAGCAGTGTATGGCCATCAAGGGACGCTTGATTAAAAATTCTGCGACTTATATGGGCTTTCTAAGGGTTCCGTAATTAAAGCTGGCCATGTGCGGCTCAGATTTTAGCTGATCCCTGTTAAATGGGCTGTGGGTGGCCCTGTCACCACTATCCACCTCCACAAATATCAACTGAAAAACTGAAGGAGCTGGGTGGAAATTGTCAGCTGAACTGTGACTGCAGCCAGTTAGCTGCAGTCACTGCACAGGTATTTTTTTATATAGCCACGGGAGGTGCAAGGGAAATTCCTTCATCCACCCTTTTTAGCGTCAACGGGTGAATCAAGTGATTTCTCAGCCCGTGGGGCTAAGCCAGAAAAATCCTAAGGTGCATAGCCAGCTCAAAAGTGTTAATGAAGATGTAGACTTTTGCTGATAAGATAAGAAGATTCGTTGTATAAGCAAGTTAACTGATAAGATTTAAAAAAAAAAAAACAGACCTTGCCCGCAAACTGTTATTGGATTTAATATTTAAAGGAAACGTATAGTATATTTTCAGTACTTAAAGTAGGTTTTTATGTGACTTTTACATTTTACATTTATGCACTTCTATATTTTTGTTAAAATACTAAATATAACCAAGCCACTACAAGATTAAGCAACAGAGTGAGCAAACAAAGCCAAAAGTTGTTTTTTTGTTGCATTGGATAGAGTTGGAACGGTCACTTTTAATTTCACTTTGTGCTCCCCTATAAAGAGATTCCCCATTCATTTCTGTGCCAGTGACAAATTGCAAACAGGAAAGGAAGACAGAAGAAATGTCCTAGATTTACACAGTGAGCGGTATCTTTATTTAGTAGAGTAGGGGAGGGTTGCTGTCTGTGTCACTGTTTGAGATTTTTTCTGCCCTTCGAATATCCTATAATTAATCTAAAGGGTTTCATAACAGGGAAGGAGGGAAAATCTGCCCATGGAGGACACAGACAGCTTAAAAAAATGTATGGCATGTATGGTGAAGTTTTATAGTCTCAATCAAGTTTTTAGTGCAGCCCGTATCCAGATGTAAGTAAAAGGAAAATTTCCCCAAAGAAGATACAGACATGAGTAAAACCTGACAGAAGTTCTATCCCTCCCTTACCCTATCCAAAACTAAAACCACAATCTCACGTTTAGATAGCTAATTTGTATTGAGATTGTAGTCCATCATGGGAACCAGCTTGAAACGGTGTCTACTTTACAACATACACAGGGACCATGGGGAACAAAAGTAGCCACCCTCCAGAAGGAAGGACAGTGTCAGCACCAATTCAGAGATGATTTGAGGATCTACAGCTGAGCGGTTTGGGGTTGTTAATAAATTAAATACTTGACTGGATTTTTAATATTTACTCATTTTAAGTTGAGTAATATCAGCTTTAGTCAACCGTGCTACAATTTGGAAACTTCTGTTGGAATCTCACTTTGTTTGAAGCGGACCTTTACCCTCTTTCACTAAAAATCACAGCAGCACCCAGCTCTGCGTGATGATTTTAAATGATATTACATTCATTAGTTAAACAAACATGTTTTTCATGTACTTACAAATAGAGTTCATCTACCTCCTGGTCCAGTTCCGGCACAAATGATGTATTGTGCCCAAGCATTGCATCCTGGGAGGGTTACATCAGCAGACCATTGCTGGGAAATCTCATCTGTAATGTCATGAGTTCTCAGGGAAATACATTTTTCTCCCCTGGGATGATGTGCATGGTCACATGTCCTAGTCACATGTGCCAGAGTTCCAGGAAGTAGAAGGAAAGCTAGTAACCTGCCCTTAGTTAAAATGGCCACTGTCAGAAGACTGGGGATAAAAAGAGGAATAAGGTATGCAAAAAATAAAGAGCCGGCAATTATCTAGAAGTATTTGTTTGGATGCCAGCTGCCACACCATGTGTTTCTTGTTTCCCGGACACCCTGCTCACTTAGCCAGCCACCTCTGCAGCATGGTTTCCTGAAACTCCCAGGGTGCACCTATGCAGGCTGCATTTTATGCTGACTGCGAAGGGTGCTGATGAGAGGAAGAGGTCAGCAGGTCTGATGTTAGTCCTTTTTTTTAATCTCGTACATCAATGCCTAGCAACCCAGAATGCAGACACATGCGATGCAGAAACCTGAGGATGGACCTCTGGGTTGTACTTGCCCCCTGGGCTAAAAGTTGCCAGTCAGCCCCTGGCCAGAAGGCAGCTGTCAATCATTTTGTGACTAACTGAACTTGCTGTGCACATGGGAATGATGGGAGCCCTAGGGGTGGAATGACTGGCGTAGAAAATCAGGCATGATATTGGCAGGTACAATGACAAACAGAAATGTGTCATTAATGGCACCCCCACCGCCTCTCCATCTACCTTTTATTGCATGTTTTGGACCTCATACTTCAGGCCCACCTGAGGATTCTCTAGTCCTCCAGTGGGCCAGTCTACCATTGGGTGTAGACTAGAATATATAAATTACTTAGACAAGTTCTTTGTCCTCCCATGGGCCAGTCTACCCTGGGTGTAGAGACAAGACACATAGCACTTCTGCGCCAAACGTGATTATTTTTTCATTATTGCTGTTCATTTTCCTCTGCTAATAAATCTTTTTTTCTTAAAAGATAAACTTGTATAAATCAGTAAAACATGTTATAGAATTGACCTAAAAATGTATATATTTTTAAAATCAGAAATGTTACTTTATTGAAACAAACAAATAACCCCGTAAAACAAATAGAGATGTATCATGCATATGCTCATCAATAAGAATTATGTGTGCAATACATATGTAATGATAAAAGGGTAATTTATGTAAAAGGAAATAATAGAACTCAGTTATGAGCTATAATAAAAGTGAAACAATGTGGCTAAGGAAACCTTGGCTTAACAAGTATTACTGACAAACATATACTAGAATTGTGAAGTGTTTTTTCCTCTAGGTATCTCCTGCAACCATACACTAGAGTTAGTGAGATAATCTTATATGCTAATAAATACATAATAACAACACAATATTTCACTGTGTGTTATTCTTTTACCTTTGAATGTATAGTAACACATGCCAGGGATAATAATATACAGCTTGTCATAACCAGAATAAAATGGATTGCATTTCAGTATGTCTGGTTTAGGCGTTGGGGAAAAGTTAATTGTTTAATTTGTAACATACATATTAAGAGATCCTTATTAAA